TGCAGAGACGCAGAACTGGCCAAAGTGCTGAGAATAATGGCTATTGAGTGCTCAGCCCTGCATGGAACATCTATGATGCGGGCTGTCCTTCTGTGTACATGTTTCTCTTATTGGCTAATGAATAAAGCCCTGTTGGCTAATAAGGCAGGATGATAGATGGGACTAGGAGAAGAGGAGAATTCTGGGAAGTGTAGGCAGAGAGGAGTCGCCATGTGGAGACTGGGAGGACAGGACACACTAGACCCTTCTCCAGTAAGATAAGACAAGATTATGTGGAAACACTTAGAGTAATAGAAATGGGTTAATAATTAAGACCGAGCTGGCCGATAAGAAGCCCTGTAGTTTCATAACTAATACAGCGTCCGTGTGTTTATTTGGGGCTGAGAAGGGCAGCAGGACCACCGAAACACATCTGTGTTAATACCTTCCCCCTATACACACTGCCCAAGGCTTATGGGACGCCCTTGAAGAGGGACCAGAAAGATACGTGAGCTGGAGGAAGGGGAGGAATCCTGTGACATGCTGTCGTGGACGTGCATGTCCCTTGTGCTCACACACTCGCCACAGCTATAGTTACCGGTACAAGCCCCGTGTAAGAGCAGACCAAGGAGATCAGGCCCACATTCCATCAGGCAGCACCAAGTGAACTTGGTGGGTTAAAAAAAAAAAAAAAAAAAGAAAAATAAATAAAAAGGAAGAAAGGAAAACCAGAGAAGCACAGTATGTGTTTATGAAGATCCTTAAGACTGGGCGGCAGGGGGAGAAAAGATCCTTAATACTTAATAAAATAAATAAATACTGAGGGACCAAAGGAAGAAATACTTCAAGGAAGCATTCATTTGTACTGTGTTAATACAGTTTTGTCATTCTAGTAAAACTGTCCTAGGGGAAAATACCCTGCAGAACTGGTAAAAAGTCACCAGGAAAAGCTGGCAGGGACACCTGTGTCCCAGTCGACTGGCTGTTACTGTGTTACAAGAAGTTTTAGAAGATATTGCAGTCAGGGCTGGAGAGGAGGCTCAGTGGTTAAGAGCTCTGGCTGCTCTTTCAGAGGATGTGGGTTCAACTCTTAGCACCCACATGACAGCTCACAACCATCCAAAACTCCCTGTTCCAGGCCACCTGGCACCCTCTTCTAGCCTCTGCCAGAACCAGGCACTCCTGCAGTATGCTTGTGTACACGCAGGCAAAACACTCATTGACATAAAAATAAATACATCTTTAAAAATAAGCATTGCAATAACTGTTGTCCCAAGATTCCCCCTATTCTTCTATCCCCCATCTCTTTAGGATTCTGACCTTGAACTTCAAATCTTCCTGCGTCTACCTCCCAAGCACTGGGTTTACAGATATATGCCAGCAAGGCCACGTTTATGTGATGCTAAGCATGCTACCAACTGAGCTGCATCCCACAGAATGACTGTTTCTCTGTTAATGCCTTCTCAGAGCCTTAGGAACTCTTCAAGCCTGGGGACAACCCAAAACCTGGCATAAAGTTGCCGAAACTTTTCTCTGAACATTTGCTAGAGCCACACTGCCATCTCACATTCTGCCAGCAGGTGTCAATGTTCAATAATGAGTGATCCTGCAACAGCGCTGCACACCCCTTCCTCCAACCCCAGGACAAATATTGGAAAGATGGACACACTAATTCATGAACGTTCCATGATCAAAATCTGTGAAAGAACCAGTCTAGTTTTACTTTGTGAGAGAAATCTATCTTAGGCTATGGGTACCCGATGGCCTACATTTACTGATATGCCCCGGTGTTTGTCCTTTCTGTTTTGGTGGCTTTTGCCACACTTCTGTGTCAAGGATTGATCTCACAAATCACCGGGAGTCTTTAAATTCCTCAGAACCTTTTGATTTCATCCTAACACAATGCCCTGCACTCATATTTGTTACGTGAACACACGCCTCTGAGAAGGTAGGCACCTCTCTGGAGACCCTGGAAAACACCTAGCTAGAGCAGTGCTCTGGATAACAAAACTCAGTCTCTTGGGCTGGGGAAACTCAGCACCCTCCACAACTGTGAAGACCTGAGGCAAACTCCCGGGCACCCATGAAAAGTAGGCGTGGAAGCTGATCCTCTAGAATCTCATTTTGACACTCAGACTTCGAGGTGTGTGTGTGGGGGGGGCTGGAGAATCCCCAGAAGCTCTGGTAGCAGACCTGGCAGGAATGAAGACATTCTAAAGAGACATGTGTCTCTCAGTCTGACTGTCAGACTATTGAAACAGTGGACCCCAGAGAAATGTGAATGTCCCCAGGAATCTCATGCTGGCAGAAGGAAAGGACACCAGCCAGAGGGGAATTTGTCTCCCAGAGAGGTTTCACACGGTTCTAAGGACTCCAGGCCTTCCTACAGGATGAGACTGGACCCCCGAACAATGATGGGCCAGTGCCGGGTGGAGCTGTGTTTTGACTGGGACTGCTTAGATGTGCATATCCCTGGCTTCTATCCCACCTCAGAATCCCAAAGGTAAGCTTGTGGGATTTACTAGATCTCTCTGTCCCTCTTCCCAGTACAACTATATGAATGTATCTTCTTTTTCTACTTTCCACTTTTAATCTGGCTCTATTAATTGGTTTATTGAGGATGGGTGGCCCAGCCTGACTTGAAACACAAGCTGTAACCCCAAGTTTGATATCATTTCCAGACCAACTAACCTGACGTGTGCAGTAACAAGACCCTTGTCTCAAATGAGGTAAAGTTGAGGACTAATGCCTGAGGTTGTCCTGACCTCCACACGAATGCTGTGGTATACTGGTGCCCACATTTATATGGAGAGGCGTGCACAAAAATTAACCTAGAAAAAGTCCCTGCAGGTTAAGTATCTTGGTCAAGGACACACAGTGAGCAATCAACAGAGGTGGAGTTTACACTAGGCTGCTCCTAGTCCAAATGATCTCAGAGAAGACAGAGCCTGCAGCCTTTTAAAATCAGCAGGATTCTTCCCTTCTGGCCCAAATGTCCAAGACATCTTGAGTTAGACCTGGAGCTGTCATCAGAAAAAGGAAGCCTATGCAGGCTTGTTCCCTAGTGTCCATACTTATCATTTTCTCAAGATTAAAGAAGTGAGCAAATTATATCAACTGCACCCATGATATGAAAGGTGTAGGAGTGGGCCGTGGGAGGGCTTGGGCAGAACTGGGAATGTGGACCCACCTCCTCTCCTGTGGGTCACAGGCCTGACTCAGGCTTCAAGCACTTAGCAGCTGACCTTCCAATGGTGTTTATCAGCCGTGTTACGCTATTGCAAGATTTTGGCTTATTCAGCAAACAATAGTATTACACCCCTTTCACTCACAATCTGGCCTTGAGGATTCTTTACTAATGCTTGCTGTGAGTCAGAGGTCACTGCTATATGACTAACCATCTGATGACATCTAGCCTTCCATCCCAGGATCCCAGTGGGGAGGAAGACTGTCAGTATCTGTTGCCCCAACAGAATCAGAGCTCAATAGTTCAAGATCAGTGCTGACAGACAGGCATTCCAGACTTTTGAGAACTGCCTTTCTTGACCACACCTCCCCCCCCCCCCAGATGAACAGCTGCCATTCTAATGGTTTGAAGTGTGCTCCAGTCTGTTCTGGAAGCTGTCCATCTCCCCCCCCCCCCCCACCGCAGGAGACAAGGCCTGGAAGAATACCGGAACTTATGTGGGCCCTGGTCAGGCATGGCTGCAGTGGCAGCCCTATGGGATGGCCACACCTGATAAGGGACAGATACTTCGCTGCACACAGGCTGTCCTCCCACGTTGGAGTAGGTTGGTGGCTGCTGTGATCACTCCAGAACGCTACACGTTTTCAGACTGGGGAAGGGCTGACAGGAGGGAGTCATGACAGCCCACCGAGTGGGCAGTGCCCCCAAGTCACTGACAAGGCTGCCCATCTATAGAGCTGTGGACATGAACCTATAGGGCCCCAGAGAGGCCACATTTTCTGCTCAGGTCCGCCTTGTCCATAGCAGGTGGAGGCATCTGTGTTTTCAAACAAAACTAGACTTCCCCAGTGTTGTTGGAGTCATCACAACAGCCTCTAGCCCTTCATGGTGGGGCTTTACACTGGCCACAGTGCTTATAGTGATTTCTCCAGCGTCCCCTCCCTCTCACAGGCGAAGAGTGCAGAGATCCCCCATCGCCCGAGACGGCACTTTTTATGTCAAGTACTAGAAGCTGGAGGGACACTCCCTGTCGCGCACACACCGTCCTAAGCTCAGGGTCATCTAGGTACCGTGAATGCCTATGTAACCAGCCCCTCGGGGCCCCCACGGGCGCCAAAACAGAGTGAGTATAGTCCAGTGGGATTACAAATGCACTCTTACACCATCCTTTGCACGCAGGCATTACAGAACCTTAAAACTTGGAGTTTCAAACGAATTAAGCAAGGGTTTGCTCCTCTGATTATTGCTGTAACCTCACCCTGCCAAACATGTCGACTTCCTCTCCCCCCATGAATGAACCGTAACTCCCCAATGCAGGGCCTGGCACCACCGCAGCTCTCCTCAGGGTTTCCGTTATTACAACCCCGGCTTCAAGCCCAGCCTTTCCCAAAAACTCCTCCGGAGGGATTGAAGCTGTTGCTGCAGACGCCAGGGCAGAGATGCCTGGCTGCAGCCTCCGCCACCCCAGGGAACCTCCACGAGAGGGGGGTGGCGAGGGCTGTAGAGCTCGCACGCCGGTAATCCCGCCCCGCCTCTGCACCCTGTGCGCTCTGAGCTCTCGGGCGCCTCGCAGCGCCGAGAGCTGGGAAACCCGAGACTAGGCCGGGAGAGTAGAGGGGCGTGGCGAGAAGGGGCGGGGCACGGTGGAAAAGTGGGGAGGGGAGGGGCACGGGAGGGGCTGGCAGAGAAGGGAGGGCGGGGATAAAGGGCGAGACCCGAGGTAGGGCGTGGTGGAAGGAACTCGACGAGGGGCGTGGCAGGGCAGTTGAAGGCGGGGTGGGGCGTGCAAGCCCCGCCCACGGCACGTCCCTCTTTCCCTCCACCGCCCCCCTCTCCAGAGCGGTCGGTTGGTTTTTCTTCTCAGCGCACGAGTCGCGCTCGAGCGGCCCGCGCGGTTGCTTGCTGCAGGAACCAGCTCCAGGCGCTGGCGCCGGGGCCGCGGGAAGGAAGCGACTTCGCTCTGCAGCCGCGGGCGCGGTCCGGGGCACCGCGAGCCTCCAGGCTGCGGCCTCTCTGCCCGGTAGGCGGCGCGGGCCACCGAAGACCCAGTGAGTGGGCGCGCGGTCGGCCTCTGGGACCCGGGCAGGGGGCGGCGTGGGGACCGCCGCGCTGCGGGAGCTTAGAGGGCGAGCGCGGGCCAGAGCGTGGGCGTAGGTGGGCACCCGGCGTGAAGTGCTGGCCCAGAAGCCCTGCTCGCTGTGGGTCCCTGGAGAGGGGCCGGGCGCCGCCCAGCGCGCTGCCGCCTGTGCTGCTGCGGGCGGCCCCTGGAAGCTCTGGGGTCCCACCTGCGGGGGCGGCACTGGGCGGGGGCCTCAGTGGAGCGGGGACTGTCGCGCCGTGGGATGAGCCTCGGCGGCTGCAGAACGGAGAGAGGCCTGGGGCGCGCGACAGTCTCGGGGCGCCTTAGGGTTCTGTTCTCGAGGCTGGCTCCCGCGGCCAAAGTAGAGTGGACCCCTCCGCACCGAGCACCGCGACCCTGCTGCGTTTAGTTAGTTTCGCTTTTCCCGCCAGTCCGGCCTCTTGTTTGCAGCGGTCACTACAGCCCCGGTCCCCCTCCGATCCAGCCCTGTACCGCCTCTCATTGGGAGACCGCCTGGTGACTCTGCGCGCGGCGCCAGCCACCCCGGAGCCACTGATGCTTCTCCCGGCAACCGAGGTTATGTCAGGAAATCGATGGAAACAGAAACAAGAGCAGTCAGAGTTGGCTGGTGGAGCAGCGGCATGGATTGCCCCGCGCCTGCTGTGTGTGTAAAGACTCTTAATTTCCAAGTTTACCAGTGTGCGATGGCAAAGGCTCTGAATGTTTGCCAAATGGTGCCTGTAAAGATGCTGGCTGGCCAGGAAGTTGTGTGTGCTTTTGAGTATGGGCGTGTGTCCCCGTGTGTTTATGTGTCTGTGCCCGTGTATCCTTGTGGATATGCGTTTTCTAAGTCTTCTTGCGTGTCTGTGAACATATTTCCGTGGCATGAGCATGTGTCTCTACATCTGTGTGTGTGTGTGCGCGCACGCCATCTGGGATAACCAGTGGGGCTGGCCATTGGCTCTGGAAGGAGTGTGACTCCCCTTGCCTGTTTGATCCTGGTTAAATGGGATATTGCTGGAGCGTTAGCTGGCGCCCTTCCAGGGAAGCCCCTGCCAGTGCTGGCTGAGCAGGGCTCCTGCTCCTCTCCCCTCCTCTCTCTTTTTCTCTGAAAGCAAACTGTACAGTGTGGTGGTGAGCTGGCAGACGCTGCTTCCTGCGTGAGTAATGTTTAATTAAATACTCTAGTTTGTAGCATCAGAAACTGCCCATGAACTGAGTTTTAACAGGTGTTTATGGTAACAGTGCCACCCCCACCACCACACCCCCCACTTCCCCCCACGAAGGCTTAGTGTCCTTGAAGTGTGTGTGTGTGTGTGTGTGTGTGTGTGTACATGCTGAGGTAGGATGGCCTGGAGAGAGTTGGCAGCTTTCTTCCTAATGGTTAGATGTGAGGAGAGGGGAACCGCCTTTCTAACTTCCATCTCTAGGCGGTAGAACTCACTATTAGTGGTACAGACAGAAGGAATCATGGAAATCAGGGAAACACTACATCACTTAGAGAATATCTAACTAGACCAGCCCTTTCCCAGTGGAAGCCCAGAGAGGTTGGGTGACTTACCCACAGTGCTGTGGCTCAAGCTCCAAGTCAGGTCCTGGCTGCTGTTGGTTAGTGTCCCTGACACTGAGGTCATAGGCCAGGCAGCTGCACAGTGATGAACTGGATTAGGTCATTTGAAGCATTTCTCCTCCTCCTCTTTCTGCGGGGAGCACTTCCAGTAGAAGACGGTTATCTGGGTAGGAGTTGCTGGATGCAGAAACTTTACAAATCTTTTTTTTATTTAAGCCTAGACCCCACTCAAATCAGCCAGACCAAACTCTGGGGAGAAGCCACAGCTGTCAGAGTCTTTGGAAGGAGTGGTCTTGCCTGGGGCCCTGGGTGAGGTCACTTAGGGGGTAAATGAGGCTGCCTGAGTGTGAGGTTGTGCCAGCAAGGGTAGGCACACCCTTCAGTGGGTCCCTCACGGCTGCTACATAAAACTGACCCCCTCCGAATCAGCACAGAAGTTGAATTCTCCTTGCTCCCAAGAGGTACTGCTGCTCATGGGGATGCTGGTGCTCCCTTCCTGAGCCTGGTGGATGCTGGTGCTCCCTTCCTGAGGCTGGTGGATGCTGGTGCTCCCTTCTTGAGCCTGGGTGGATACTGGTGCTCCCTTCTTGAGCCTGGTGGATGCTGGTGCTCCCTTCCTGAGGCTGGTGGATGCTGGTGCTCCCTTCCTGAGCCTGGTGGATGCTGGTGCTCCCTTCTTGAGCCTGGTGGATGCTGGTGCTCCCTTCTTGAGCCTGGTAGATGCTGGTGCTCCCTTCTTGAGCCTGGTGGATGCTGGTGCTCCCTTCCTGAGCCTGGGTGGATGCTGGTGCTCCCTTCCTAAGCCTGGGTGGATACTGGTGCTCCCTTCTTGAGCCTGGGTGGATACTGATGCTCCCTTCTTGAGCCTGGTGGATTCTGGTGCTCCCTTCTTGAACCTGCCTCCTCTTCCTGGGTGGATGAAGCTTACAGGCAGATGTATCTTCTTCGCTTTTAGCGAAGTGTTCCGAGTTTGGTCTAGGAATTTCACACCAGTCCCTTTCAGAAATAGGGTGTGACTGGTATGTGTGAATTGATTCATCTTGTTATCGGTGCACAGCGCGTGGCAGGTTTGCCTCAGTCTGTCTAGGCGTAAGCACACACTGACTACCAGGTCAGTGAGCAGTGTGAAAGGCTGTCTGTCATCTTTCAATGCTGTGCTCACCTTCCCCAAATGACGACCTCTCTCTCAAAGCGGTGCCTGTGCTTCAAGGGCTCTGATATGACCCAGCTTCCTACTCCTAGTGGGCAATGGCTTGACCTGACTGCACTTCCCAGGAGCCTTGGACTGTGGACTCTCCCTGCCCCCTCGCACCCTCCCTCCCTCTTTGCCCCGGTTGGCAGGTTACATAGTCAAGGTCTGTTTGCCACTGAATGGTGAAGTTGAAGCTCCAATTAGACTTCAGTCACCACCGCAGTGTGCCTTCCTGTCCCTTCAGCAAGTTCGTGCTAACGTTTAAATTTTGTTATTCTTGTGTGTGTCTGATGTGTGTGTGGAGGGATACACAAGTGCTGTAGAGGTCACAGGACAACTTTGTGGACTGGGGGTCAAGCACAGGCTGTCAGGTTTGTGTAGCTATGGTCTGCTGAAACATCTTGATGGTCCCTGTTAATGTTTTTTTAGTGACTTTTTTGTTGTTGTTGCAAAAAAAAAAAAAAAAATACAACCATGTGTCAGAAGAAAGGAGACTATAATGAATAAGCCACATACCTTCACCAGTTTCAAGGCTCAACACATACAAGTGCACATACATGAGTGCACACATACATGCATGTTGGAATATTCTGAAGCAGAAGTATGTTGTCAATTTACTAGTGGGGGGAATCGTGTTTAAGAGAGGCCCTGTGACTCCTTATGAGGGTAAGATTTGGGCCAGTGTGCCACCTGCACTTTAAAGGTGAGGCTGGCACTGTGCTCTGGAGGAAGAGGAGGGACAGCCAGTCAGGGCCTCAGCTTGGTGCCACTCCAGGGCCTCTGGACAGCGTCCTGCTTATTTAGCCTTGTAAAAGTTCTGTTCGTTGCCTAATATTAAAAAGAATGAGTCTGAGGATCATGAGGCAAACCGCATGGGCTTAGGCTCCCTCGGCCTCCCTGAAGAGTTGGGCAAGAGAAGCCGCCAAGGCACAGCCCAGCTCTGCCCACTGTGCAGGCCCTGGCCTTGTATAATGCTGGTAGTGGGGGGGAGGGGCGGTCATTGCAGGCCTGGGCGGCAGGGAACGAGAGAAAGATTTGTCAACAAATTCTGCACTAGACCTCAACCCAAGCTTATTCTTCAGCTTGCGGTGCTGGCCATGGCTGGAGGGGTCTGGGAACCTCTGCTTCCCCAGGGGACATCTGGGAAATGTCCTGGGAAGGGGAGCTCTGGGTAACCCAGGCTGAATGTGGAGGGGGTTGGGATGTGGCCTCCACCCTCCGAACAGGGCAGCTGAGTGGGACTTCAGCCCTGCCTGTGACAAGCTCTCCGCCCTGTCCCTCATTGTGAACCCAGCTTACCAGGTTAGCGATGTGTGGCTTCCCTGAAGCTGCTGGCTATGCTCTGGGGCCACCTTAATTGTTAAAGTTACACCTGTGTAAGTTACTTTTCTTGTTGCCATGGCAAAATACCTGACAAAAACAACTTAAAGAAAGAATAATTTTGTCACCTTGGGGAGGGTGTGGCCCTGAAGCCTGAGGTCGTGTGGCGTCCAGTCAGAAAATGTGGCGTGCACAGTCAGAAAACTGGGAGGGATGAGTGCTGGGGTTCCACTCACTCCTTTATCTCATTTATTCAGCCCTTGCCACTCACATTCAGGGTGGGTTTTCCCACCGCAGCTACACCTCTAGAAACACCGTCACAGACACCTATAGGAGTGTCTCCTAAGTGAGCCTAAATGCCATCAAGTTGATCAGGAAGACTAAATACCGTGTCTCCTGCTTGTCACCCCATCCCTAAGGACCAAAGACTTGCTCTTTGGGACACCTCACCTGTGTAAGGTGAGCTGCCTTCCAAAGCGCTACCCCACAAGCCTATGGGGGTAGACCTTATGAGGATGTGTCATCGTAGCAGGGGACACAAAGTTGGGTCTGCTGAATTTACTGAGGTTGAGTTTCTTCGTCCCGAGAGTTACGAAGGTTGCTAACGGCTTGGTTGGCTGGTTGAAACATGAAAAGTTGTTGGAACAGGAGATGCCAAATCTCCCTGGGTTTTAATGGAGGAAAGAGTTGGTGGATGGAAAGATTGGAATTCCAGAGGGGCAGATCTCCCTCTTAAAACCTCACCGGTCGGTGAGAGGGTTCCAGAAGGTGAACTTCCCACCAGTACTCTGGGAGACAGATTCAGGAGAAGAGGTTCACCATTCCTAAAGTGTTGCTTGCTCTTCTCAGACCTTACGTGGAGCCCTGAGAACTCTGAGATCGGGGG